AAAGTTATATAAATTTCATTGAATTTTAAATTTATATATTTCTTATAATAATGTCATCAAAAAAGGTGCCGATCTATAGTCCACGAGCGCCAACACCTATCGCACCGTACACTCAAGGCGTAAGAGCCGGTGATTATGTGTTCATAACGGGACAGATATCTACCGATGTTAAGACTGGTGAGCCTGTCGTGGGATCACTACGAGTCCAATACGAGACCACATTCAACAATGTCTTAGCCGTGACCGAAGCCGCCGGTGGAACGGCTCATGATATCGTAAAACTGGGAATATTTGTCACAGATATCCAACAAATCCAAGTCCTCAATGAAGTTACAAAGAAAATATTCCGTGAGCCCTACCCGGCCCGCAATGTCGTGCCCGTCAATAAGATACCCCGGGGCGGGAACATTGAAATCGATGCCATCGTATATTTGCCACAAAATAAATAAATAACTTTTGTCTTAACATGTTGTTTTTATAACTAAACACATTTATTCAATTTTGTTTACAACTATAAATATTTTATAAAAACTAACATTTGTAAGAAACTTTATGTTATAATAATTTTTACAGTGTTACAAGTTATGTAATTTATTTTAATATTTACTGATAACAATAAATTCTAATTTATTCTAAATATTCTTTAATTGATTTCATTTTCTCCATAAACTATTTCCACGGAATCGCTAACATTAATGAAACCGTTTGAAAGGTGACCATAAATGTTGCCAAATGTGGGCGACTTATTTCTGGGTCCGGGTTTTGGAGGTCGTACTCTAATGTAATACAATTTATAAATTCAGTAATACAATCATGATAATAAATATGATTTAATTAGTATAGGTTTATCCAATAATTAGTTCTAATATGAATATCATAAAATAAAATTCCACAAGAATCAGAATATTCTATAAAATGCAATCCTTATACATTTAGAGAGCAAATATTCTTATATATTTCAATATAAAATGTATTATTTCATTACTAATATTTAAATGAAATCTATTGATGTTCAATGATTCATGTTTTTATGCCATATATTTGATAAAAGTTTAAAATTACTATAGGAATTTTTGAATTGATGCAGTATATTCAGCATAAATATATGCTGTGTAATGCATAAGAATTGGATTTCACAGAATATTCTGATTCGAGTGGAATTTTGTTTTGTGATATTCTTTTTAATCTCGAATTATAGAATACACACTATAATACTAATTAAATCTTAGTTATTAACAGTTGATAAGAGTATTTACTACTTAGAGTTATATAGTTAGATAGAGATATTGGAGTTATACATAACTTATATATAACTTATATAGTAACAAAAATTATATATAACTTTTACTCACTTTTTTAAAGTTTTTAAAGTTTCCACTTTAGCACCAGTTTCTGGATCAACACATGTAGTGGGGCAGCGGTCACAGGATATGAGCATTAAGAAGTTGACGCCATTGATTCGCATCCATTTCCAATTGTCTTCAGCCCACGGCTCAGGATATTCGACCAAAACAGTTGGTCTGAAATTGTCGGACAAGACCTGATCCTCGCCCTCTGGGAATTGGGAATTCAAATCATTGACTGAACTCTCGTTAACCAAATGTAAACCGGATCTGTTTTGATATATAATTGGAAAGTCTTTGTCATCATTGCGACGTTTGCCTGAATCTGAGTCTCTGAAGTCAAAACTGTGGTGATGTTGTAGTAATCGTACTCCAGGTCTACCTATAAATGTCTCAAACCATTGGTTTGCTTCCGGACCGCAATCTATTCCTTTGATCACCTGTCCGTCCAAACTGTATGTATCAATACATTGAGAATATTATTGGAAAACTATTATAAAAACACTTTTATGTATTACTTGAATGAAATGATTTTGTGATTGTCATTGAGTTCCTCAATGTATGTGAGTTTAAGTGTTGGCATATCTGGTCCGTCAACCCATAATTGTTTGCCCATAATTCGCAACCTGGTCAATACAAATCTGGGACATCGAGGGATTTCAATGACTCGGTTTGAATGTTCTACTAATATCCAGGATCTGTTTTTATATAATATATAACTTTCAGGACTGGTCTAAAAGTTCAATTACATTGTATATACTAACCTGTCCTTAAATATTCCGTATTTGACACCATATTTAGTAATCTCGAGCTGATTCACTTCCACTCCTTTAAGACTTTTGATCGGATATATAAATAGTTTTTTAACTTTACATACTTTGACAAAATGTTTCCGAGTCTTTCTATACAAATAAAACAATACTGAAGTGATGATCAGTACTAATATACCACGTATGCATAGTACGATGAATGGCAATTGAGTGGACATTAAGGTAAGTAAAAATTAAATTTATAATTTAATGCAATATGTACTGTAAAGATAGATATAAACGTGAATGTCGCTAATATTCCTACTAATATTCTTATTAATGTTATTATCTCTTTAAGTAAAAATATTTTTTTAAATACTGACCTTCAAAACAAGAATCCCCTAATCATGGCCTTAACATTATGACTTGATTAATACATAACTTTTGTACTTTTTACACTTTCTAATCAGAGTGATTTATGATTACTAATAATAATTGTAATAATACTAGTTGTCTAAACAACTTACAACAGAGGTGTCCAGACATTATTTATTGATGCTTTTTACAGTTAATCCTAATTAATGTTATAGTATTGTACAATTTTTATAATCCTTTGCATTAGTTATTAATAATCTCTACTCATACATGTGTTATGGTATTTGTGTTTAGTTTTTAATAAAATGATTACAAGTACTGTAATAATACCCATTCTTACCCTCAGGACACTTCTGACTTACAACCATAGCTATAGCCTACTGTAATGAATCTCAATTAGTCATTTCAATGTAGAAAATAAGGAATCGATAAATCCAATATTTTTTGACAATATTCCAGGAATATAGGAAATTCCGCGGAAAGTTAAAATATGGTAAAATTCATAAATTAAAACAATTTTCTGGTCAGTTAGCATTACCCAAGATACACCACGTGGAGGTCGACCAGAACGTGTCTCACCCTTTTTTGTTATGGAGGTTGTTCTTTCAGTCATTCCTCAGTTCACTTATAAATCAATAGATTAATGGCTTTTGTGATATCGGCGTTTTGTCATTATTTGTTCAATATTAGGTGTCTTTAGTGCTGAATATTCGAAATCTCGTTTCTAGTAATTTATCTGATATTCTATTCGTTTGTTTGGTCTTAATTAAGTTCATGATAGAAAAAAGTTATTCACAAAATGTTGTTGGAAAAAGAGTTATGATTTTAAAAGCATTCCAGCATAAAAGATTTGAATTTCCTGTATTCCTGGAATATTGTCAAAAAATATTGGATTTATCGATTCCTTATTTTCTACATTGAAATGACTAATTGAGATTCATTGGCCTACTGTACAGGCAATGATGCTCTTATTTGTACTGAACTTATCTTAACAGATGTCCAAAAAAGTCAATTGAGATTATTGAATAAATATTTATACAATCAAGATATTATAGTTACTCTAAATGAAATATGACAACTCAAAATTAATTTTATTTTATAACTTTGAAAATATTATTTAGTTGTTTCCAGAGATAAAACAAATGGTAGTCCAAAGCAATTCTTTAATTGATTTCATTTTCTCCGTAAACTATTTCCACGGAATCGCTAACATTAATGAAACCGTTTGAAAGGTGACCATAAATGTTGCCAAATGTGGGCGACTTGTTGTTGAATCCAGGTTTTGGGGGCCGGAATCTAATGATAAATAATTTTTTAAAATTTACCAAGTATCAACCTCATAATTAATTAGTTTGAATAGACCTTAATATAAATATTCATAAATAATAACTTAATACAAATATTTGAATTTATCAATAACTATAATAATATTTGTTCTTAAGTTTTACTAACTTTTGTAAAGTTTCCAAAGTTTTGACTTTATCACCAGTTTTCTGGTTAACACCGGTATTGAGGCACCGGTCACAGGCTATAAGCCTTAAGAAAGTTACGCCATTGATTCGCATCCATTTCCACTTGTCTTCAGCCCACGGCTCGCGGTATTCGACCACAAGATTAGGTCTGAAGTTTTCATCGATGGCATGATCCTCGCCCTCAGGGAATCGGGAATTCAAATCACTGATTGAGCTCTCGTTAATCAGATGTAAACCCGATTTATTTTGGTATATAATTGGATAGTCTTTGTCATCGTTGCGACGTTTGAATGTATCCGAGTCTCTGAAGTCAAAGCTGTGGTGATGTTGTAGTAGTCGTACTCCAGGTCTGCTTAAGAATGTCTCAAACCATTGGTTTACTTCTGGACCGCAATCTATTCCTTTGATCCTCTGTCCGTACAAACTGTTTATATATTCAGAATATTATTAGAAAATGATCATGATACAACTGTTTTGTATTACTTGAATGAAATGATGTTGTGGCTGTCATTGATTTCATCTATGTATCTGAGTTTAAGTGTTGGCATATCCGGTCCGTCAACCCATACTTCTTGACCCAAAATTCTGGTTCGAGTCAACACTAGTTTAGGAAATGATTTCATACCAATGACATTGTTTGCATTGTCTAATAAAATCCAAGATCTATAATTGTATAATTGTAAACATTAAGCGTTGTTTTTAAAAACTAAATTATAAACCTACCTGTCCGTAAATGACCCGTATTTGACACCATATTTAGTAATCTCGAGCTGATTCACTTGCACTCCTTTAACCGCTTTAATAGGATATATGAATAGTTTCTTAACGTTACATACTTTGACATAATTATTCCGAGTCTTTCTATACAAATAATATAGTAAAGAAGTGGTGGTCAGTACTGATATGCCAACGATGAATGGCAATTGAGTGGAAGTTATCATTATTCATAAATATTCTGATATACAGTACTCTACTATTTCATATTTGTAAACACATTAAATCAAAAATTCTAAAATGGAAATGTCACCAAAAATGTTATTATACAGTAACTAAAGTAATGTTATTTTACAGTTAACCACTAACCTTCACAAGCAGAATTAACTATTCAACGTTACTTTTACGATTTGTAATCAGAGTCAGTTATAAGATTTATGATACTTAATTTATTTTAATAAATTTCCCCAGAATCTGATTATTGAATAAATATTTATATCAATATAATCATGTTAGTTATTCTAAATTAAATATGTGCAAATATATAATGTAGGAATTGTTTTATTTATAGTGACTATTGTATTAATTTTATAAAAATCTATAATGAACTCAAATGTATTTGTTATGTAATCAACACTCGTTATGATTAATAAAATGATTCATTCTTATCTCAAAATTAATTTTAGTTCATAACATTTATTTTGTAAATATGAATTTAATTATAGTAATTTACAAATATAAAAAATATATTTACTTAAGTTCATGATGTGGTGAAACTGTCATTATTTGTGATACAGATATCACAGATAATTTAGTCTAACATTTATTTTGAAATCAATATTCTTATGATTCTATAATTAAACATTATATTGTAATTTATTTGAATTTATCAAAGTTGATAATAATAATAATAATTGCTAATAACGGATAGAAGCACGTAAAGATTTTATAATTATTAAAATAATATTGTAATATCTACTTTATTACAGTTAATTAGTAAATAATTATGTAATTAATTCTAATTTAATTCACATATTTTTAATTGATTTCATTTTCTCCATAAACTACTTCCACAGAATCGCTAACATTAATGAACCCTGTTGAAAGGTTACCATAAATATTGCCAAGTGTGGACTTATTTCTGGGCCCTGGTTTTGGGGGTCGGTATCTAATAATAAACACTTTGTATTAAAAGAAATAATTTTTATAAGTTTTACTAACTTTTTTAAAGTTTCCAAAGTTTTAATTCTACCCCCGGTTTTCTGGTTAACAGTGGTAACACTACACCGATCGCAGGCAATAAGTCTCAAGAAGGTTACGCCATTAATTCGCATCCATTTCCACTTGTCTTCAACCCATGGCTCGGTGTATTGGACGACAACGTTTGGTCTGAAGTTCTCGTCAAAGACCTGATCCGAGCCCTCAGGTAATCGGGAATTCAAATCACTGATTGAGCTCTCGTTAATCAAATGAACATTTGATTTGTTGTGATATATAATTGGATAGTCTTTGTCATCATTGCGACGATCATATGTATTGCTGTTTCTGAAGTCAAAGCTGTGGTGATGTTGTAGTAGTCGTACTCCAGGTCTGCCTAAAAATGTCTCAAACCATTGGTTTGCTTCCGGACCGCAATCTATTCCTTTAATCTTTCCCCTATATGTAGCCATAGTTGTATACTTCATACTGTGTATACATTATTAATATTTCTGTTAAAAATCTATTATAATAGTTTAGCACTCATGTTCATTATTACTCAATTGTGATGATGTTGTGACTGTCATTGATTTCATCAATGTATCTGAGTTTAAGTGTTGGCATATCTGGTCCGTCAACCCATAATTCTTGGCCCATAATTCTGGTTCGAGTCAACACCATTTTGGGATCAGTATTCATATTAATGTAATCGTTTTTAGCGTTTAATAATATCCACGATCTGTAATATTATTTTACAATTGAACAAATATTAAAATACTAAATTACTTGAAAACTGACCTGTCCCTAAATGACCCGTATTTGACACCATATTTAGTGATCTCGAGCTGATTCACTTCAACTCCTTTGCCCGCTTTAATAGGATATATGAATAGTTTCTTAACTTTACATACTTTGACAAAATGTTTGCGAGTCTTTCTATACAAATAAAACAATAATGAAGTGGTGGTCAGTACTGTCAGACCAACGACTAATGGCACCGGCACTTGAGTGGTGGCCAGCATTATTCTTTAGATATTGCAATTAAATGTTATAATTATTATTTATTACAAATAATAATATGTAATTGCAAACATGAATGTTATCAGAATTATTTGTTATTTCATGAAATAAAATGGTTTATAAGTTTAGTTAAGCATAAAGTTATTCAATAATAAGTTAGCCTTCAAAATGAGAATTTATATTACATTTGGAGAATCTAATCATTAGATTCTAATGAGTGTGTTATGAATACTAAACTCTCATTTTGGGAAACATCCTCACTATCTAACCTATCATTGAATAAATATTATATTTATATAATTTAAGGTCGAGATAAATTAATAGTTATTCTAACAGATATATCAAAATTTTATATTACTGGATAGACTTTTGGTCTGAAAACATTATTTAGTAATAAAAAGACAAATTTATTTTTAAAAATTCTTAATTACAAAAATATTTAAACGTTTCTCTAATTTGTACTTTTGATGCTTCATTTTTTGGTTATTAGAGATTATTTATTCATTGAAACATTATGAACAATTATTATAAAAATCAATGGAAATTATTTATGATTTAATTAAACTTTTAATGAATATTTAGTTCAAATGACATCATTGGGTCCGTGAATAACTTCAACACAATCGTTGGTATGAATGAAACCATTGGATAAATGAGCGAATATGACACCCATACTGGGACCCAGACCCTTTTTCTTCGTTATGCCTTCCGGTGGCCGAAACCTAAAATATAAATAAATAAATATTTATTTGCTAAAATGAGCTTGTATGTTTGAATGTTAACTAACTTTTTTAACGCCACAAGTGTTTCCATATTTTTAACAGCGGTTTTCTGGTTGACAGTAGTGGAGGGGCACCGGTCGCACGCCAGTAGTCTCATGAAGTTGACGCCATTGATTCGCATCCATTTCCACGTGTCCTCAGCCCAGGCCTGGGGGTAGTCGACCAATACGTTTGGTCTGAAGTTTTCGTGACAGACGTGATCCGCGCCCTCAGAGAACCGGGAATTCAAATGACTGATTGAACTCTCGTTAATCAAATGCAGACCCGATTTGTTTTGGTATATAATTGGGAACTCTTTGTCATCGTTTCGGCGTTTGTCTGAATTAGTGTCTCTGAACTCAAAGCTCTCGTGATGTTGTAGTAGACGTACCCCTGGTTTGCCTAAAAATGTTTGAAACCATTTGTTGCACTCATCGCTACAGACTAGACCTTTGATCTGTTGGCCATACATTCTGGTTGTCATACAAAATAACAATACTGTATAATAATACTGTATAATGTTACAATTAGATATCATATTTATAATTATACAAGTATTTTAAAATTCATATAAATTATATGTTATTGAACATAAAAGTAAAAATGTTAATTAAAATAATACAAAATAAAAAATTTAAACATTGATGACATACCTGAACGATAGTATATTGTGATTATTATTAAGTTTGTCTATATATCTAAGTTTAAGAGTCGGCATATCTGGTGCGTCAACCCATAGCTCGTGGCCCACAATACTGGTGCGGGTGAGGGCTAGTCTGGGCTCGTGTTTGATACCAATCCAGTTGTTTGACTCATTCAATAGAGCCCACGATCTGTTCAATTTGGAGGCTATTTATCACATTAAACAATGAATGTTCATAAACTGACCTGTCTTTAAATGTGCCATATTTGACACCATATTTAGTGATCTCGAGCTCATTCACTTCAACTCCTTTAACCGCTTTAATAGGATATATGAATAATTTCTTAACTTTGCAAACTTGTTCATAATTTGGTCGAGTCTTTCTATACAAATAAAACAGTAGTGAAGTGGTGGTCAGTACAGAAAGGCCTACTATTAAAGGCACCGGTATTTGAGTGGTATTCATTTATTTTGATACCACATAGTAACACAATTTAATGATTTTATATGTGAACCAAAATCAGATAATTTGTCTGATTCTGATGCAATGTTATCAGAGTTTCAATATTCTGAGTAAACATCTCAGCAATTTTGATAAGTTTTAAAACTTATGACAATTTTTATACTGAACACAAGTTTCTAAGCATTACTTATGCAGTTCATTGAATTTTTGACAAAACTTATTAACCGATAAATATGGCTTTTGTTTTAAAGTTTATTTTTTGTCTATTGTTATATTGTATGTTTTGTTTATTTTAATTTAGTATTGATAAAACATTTCTTGTGTTCCCATATCAATGCACTCGTTATCTGGCTAATCACCATTAAATTGTCACAAAATTTTTAGATTTCCATATTTATTATGCTTTAATTGTATTTTTGGACAGAAATTTAATGTCATAAAAATACTCTAAATATGAATTCATTGATAATTCTTTTCATGACAATGACAAACAGAGTGAAATAATCTTAGCTTTATTTGGTAATCTCACCAACAAATTGTTTTATGATATATTTTAATTGCAGTTTTATGCACATTACGAAATGAAGTATTAATTTATGAATTGCTTTTCAGTAAGGTAGTTTAAGTTACTTTTAATTACCGGTAATGATTTACTATATTTGGCATTCAATTAGGGCTTATGTGCAGCAATTTTATTGCTTGGTATCAAATCTATTGTATGCCCATATTTGTCAATATAATTGTAAAGTTTGTACAAACTTTCAATCAATTAATAGATAAGGAATTGCAGACTTCATCTACTAATGAATGAAAGTATTGTTTCAAAAATCTTATCATTAGATGTTACGAGAGATTTTAATTCAAGAACGGAAGTGGAGTTAATTAATTAAATAAATATTTGCTTAAAATTGACGTCAATTTTGATTTATCTTTGAAAGAGTACTAAATTTTAAAATAATTGAATCAAATGCATGATAATTTAAATTCTATATAATTATTAATTATTATTAAATAAATGAATAAAATGAATATCTTAAAATAAAAGTAATTGAATTGAATTTCAAGAATTTCTTTTAAATTATTTATTTGTACTGTATAATAATAATTAGCTTGCAAATTTAAGACTTTAATGACTAATATAAATGATTTTACATATTTCTAATGACTTTTTCTTAGAAAATTTTGTTTATTCACTGATTAACAAGCGAACGTCTAACAAACGATACTTGATTATTTATGAATTTCATTGTTTTTAAATACCGGAGTACATTTAGAAAATATTATTTTTAAATAAATTACCTAGAATTGAATGAATCTGTAAAATAAATAAATATCATTTAATAATTAATTGACTAGATTTTGTATAGAAGTAAAGTCAAGTTTTTGATAATTAATACAGTACTTTACCAAATTATCATAATAAATTATTTTAACTTTCATTAGCTCATAATCTTATATTAATTATTTATTTTACTTTTTGAACTTTAATAATTAAGTTAAATAGTATATAGATTTCCTTGATATTATTTGTAATACTTATAAAATGAGTGAAAAACTAAAAATTAATAAGGTGTCCAAATTTGACCAAGCCAACATTTTCAGTAGATATTATTCTACGTATGATTTTAACAATCTTTATTAAACAATTATATATTTTTAATAATTTTTATTTTCAGTTGGATTTATCCCCTATTCTTAAAAGGATTTCAAAAAGACATTCATTTAAATGATTTATACAAATGCTCTAAAAGTGAGAATTCAGAGCATCTTTTGCTGAAACTTGAGAGGTATGTCCTATCATTGGAAAGGAGTCTCTTTGGAAGTCATCATTACTTTAATTTTTAAAATTAAGTTATAATATAATATAACATAAAATAGTTCTTGAAATTTTTTATTTATGATAATTGAGTGAATATACAAATTATATTGAAAACATAATACTGTATATGAATTATTACTATGAATTAGGAATTGGGAACAGGAGTTATCAAAAGTGAATCCAAGTTTCACCAGAGCCACGATTAAAACATTTATTCCTTACATATACGCCCCAACTGTCATATTTATAATATGGGTATTGTGCACTAACTATTTCATTATAATACTTATAATATTCACTACTATAATATAATCGGAAACTTTATTTTATTATGAAATTACAGACGTGTTTGGTATTGAATTGTTCAGCTCTTTTGATCGGACGTGTAGTCCGCTATCTATCAGATTCCAAGACAATGGCTTACAGGACAGCATGTGTTTATGCTGCCGGTGTCATCCTAACAGCTATAATCAATACCTTGATCTACCATCCCTTCTGTCTAATGGGCTATAGGACAGCACTGAAAGTGCGGGTCAGTTGGTGTTCAATCATTTACAAGAAGTCATTGCGATTGAAGACATCGGCCTTTGAGAAGACAACTGTCGGACAGATTGTGAATCTCGTGACTAACGATGTCTCCAGATTTAATGAGGTCTCACTTCAACACATATTTCTTGATTCCGTGTGTTTATAACATTTTAATTGTCTCTCAGTTTGCCCTGGGCATTATTACAGTAGCTGCGACTCCATTTCAATTTATAATTAGTATGATTATTTGTTGGTCATATGTGGGACCGGTATGTCTCGGGGGTTATGCTGTTATGATACTATTTATTCCGTTTACTTTCATGATTGGAAAACTATCCAGAAAATATAGGTTGGGTTGTAATTTTGTAAATTTCTTAAATAATTTGATTTTACAACTATACACATTTGAATATATGTAATTGATTTGTATGATATAAATATATATGATAGATTGAGATTATCAAGCTATTTAATAATTACTAATTATATCAATCAGGGTAAAAGTGAATCGCCTTTCAGATTACAGAATACGTCTAATGAATGAAATTATAAGAGCCATGAAATTGATTAAAATGTATGCCTGGGAAGAGTCCTTCTCTAAAGCTATTGGCGATGCGCGTCGGTATGTATCACTTCTCCCTGTATTTAGTAATCCTGTATGAATTTATTTTATTTACATGTTTAGTAAGGAAATGTCCCAGGTTAAAATGTTGACATTTATAAAGGCTCTTTCAATCTGTGTATATGCAACGAGTAGTCGTCTTATTTATGTAGTAATACTCATCGCTTATGTCTTATTGTTTGGCAATATATCGGCGGAATCACTGTTTGTACCGATGATTGTATTGAGTTCATTGAGTTATTTAGTTATGTTGATTGTGCCCCAAGTCATAGGAATGGCTACTCAGGTCCATGTATCCTGTAAACGCGTTCAGGTACTTTGAATTTGAATTTAGAAATTATTTGTATAATAAACTGTTCTCTAACTACTCTATAACTATTTATACGATAAATGATTTGAATTTCTAAAAACAATAGTAAACTTTACAGAAATATCTACTTTTGGATGAAATGGACATGAAAGAAGTAGCACCAAGTCAAAGTGAAACCAGTGAAAAATCAGAGTTAATTAACAAAGAAGTTAATACAAAATATTTCCACAATGATTGCATTAATATGGACTCCAAAACGTTTGATAGTATTTCAGTGAATGATATGTCGTGCTGTTGGAGAGAAGTAAGTTATATACTGTACCGGTATATGATATGATTGCATTCATTTTTTTTATTAATCAATTAAATTTATAAGGAATCGGAAGAATTCAATTTAAAAAACATATCAATGAATGCAAAACCTGGTGAACTAATAATAGTTATTGGATCCATAGGCTCTGGAAAGGTATAATATAAATTACTATAAATGTATCCTACTGTCTCATGACATTTATTTAAATTTTATTACCAAATTGAGAGCACATTCCTGATGTCACTGATGAATGAGTTGCGGATCACTTGTGGTTCTCTGCAATTAAACGGAACCATAGCTTATGTCTCACAGGAGTCGTGGGTTTTCAACGCAAACGTCAAACAGAATATTATTTTCGATAAACAATACGAAGAGAAAAGGTTTCGTGAAGTGGTGT